ATGTTCTGCGGGGCCGGCAATGTGCGTGGGGTGTTGGGGTGCATGCGGCGATATTCGTCCGTGTACTCGAGGCAATTGACCCATGTGAGGGTTCGATCGGCGGTCGCCTTGGAGTATAGGTGGGCGTGGAGCCCTCAGGTGGTGATTGCCAGTAGTTGACCGATGAGGGCTGCGGTGATGGATCCTTCTTGACCGGGTAGGTTGGTTGCGCTGAGTGGTAAGTATCGGATGTACTTGCACCGTAGGTGATTGCCAAATTGTGCCCATGATTTGTCTTTGAGGGGCCGTAGGGCTAGGAATCGCGTGAAATGTTCAAAGGGCAATAGCCCAAACTGTATCTTGAGCTGGTCGGCAATGTCATTGTAATTGTGATATCCCTCGTTGTAGAGGCATTGGGCTGCCGCCGCGACTGTAGGCATCGTGTGCCCAATCAGGCAGTCAATTTTTGTGTTATTGGACGTACCGTCATGACTGAATGCGATTTCCAGTCAGCGCAGGTAGACTTCAAAGTCCTCTCCCTGTGCTTGTTTTGGAAAATCCGCCCTGTGTTGGAGCAGCGATTCAGTGATGTTGGCGGTAAGTTTGGCAGCGGATGGGCTGGCTCCTGGTCCAGGTGCTGTGTTTTGGAGCACGTTGATTGGCTGTATGCCTTGCGCTTGGAGCGCTGCGATGAGTTTGTCTCGGTTACCCAGATGTGGGATTTGTGCGGTTGCACAGTACAATTGTATGGCCGGTAGCATGAGATGTGCCCACTGGTTGTTATTGCGATAGTTTTGGGCAAATGCCAATGCGGAATCACTTGATGGACTCGGGGATGCTTCGTCCATTTCACTTTGCACAATTCGCTCATTCGGGGTCGCCATGGTTTGTTCTTGCGCGGCTGAGCCCCCAGTAAGACTTTTGTCTCCACACACTCACAATCAGGCGTTGTCACCTTCTTGAAGTAAAGCACACACTAAGTGGAACACAACGGTAGCGGTTTATATTGGCACTCACTCAGGTAGCAGATTATGACTAATACAGTACACACGATAAAAGGCACTGATTCTCGTGACGACTGTTTGGTTCAGGAGCTATAGACAAAGTGAGGCTCTCTTAGGCCTCAGGGGTACGGGCGCGAGTTGGTTGATGCAAGCGCGCGTGTGTATTGCGTCAGCCAGTTCGGATTGGTGCAGCGTAACAAAGTAAAAAGAAACAGTCGATGTCGCGTTTAGGCCTTTGCACGGGCCATGATGGCGGCGCCTATGGACCCGCGCAGGGGTCATACTATGTTATGGTACAACTTCCACTCAACACTGCTCCATTCAACACTACCTCTTTCATGCCACCCCTAGGAGCACCAGCCTCTCATTGAGTGACTTCAACTGCAATGCTTTGGCAGTATAACATGTAAACAGAGACTCCAAGGGACAAATAACATAGTGCACATATAAAAACACCTTTTTTAAATAATTATAAATATATGGTACTTTCCTGTTATCTCTGAACCTCATTCCTAGACTGCACTACCATCCAGACAAATCTTTAGGACAAGTTCATAATCACAATGACCTACCAGAAACTGTGAATTTTATTTTTCCGCATTCTGCTGAAACTGATTTTGGGAGGCAGTTAGGTAAAGTTAGGTTGGGTCTGGTTATCATAATTAAAAGATATTTGATATTTGGGAGGCAGTTAGGTAAAGTTACGTTAGGTCAGGCTATGTTAATTAAAATATATTTGTAGCTAACATATCCTGACCTAAGCTAACTTTACCTAACCACCTCCCAAAATCAGTTTCAACAGATTGCAGAAAATAAAATTCACAGTTTCTGGTAGGTTGTCGTGATTATGAACTTGTCCTAAAGATTTGTCTGGATGGTAGTGCAGTCTAGGAATGAGGTACAGAGATAACAGGAAAGTACTGTATTGAATATTACATTATCTTCCTACTCCTCCACCATTCTTCAACATGTAATTTGTATCTGCAAGCATGCGTAGTTCATGAAGTCACTCATTTTTAGCGTTGAGGGATGGAGTGGTAGGCAACAGCCCTCTGAGGAGGGGCAGCGTGGAAGTGAGTGGCGTCGAGTTTGAAAGTGTACCATAACGTCTGGTCACCATTTTCACTGCTGCTGCCCTCTATCGCACATATTTACAGTACCATACTTTTAATCAAAAATTTCCTGCAGAATGGATTTTAAAATATTCTGCATTTGTGATAGGATGTCTTAGAGCTTGTTCATTTTCTGTACCTGCAAGCTCGGCATGATATAATGGTTATATTGTGTCATTAAATGTAACCTGATGCCCTCAAGTAATGCAAATTCTTCATACTGAGTAAACCCACTATTCCTTATGCTGGCACATTATTTAATACAGGTACCTGCCTTCCTGAGCACAAGCGGAAATTTGACTCGTAGATAATATCAGCTGGAACAAAAACGACTGGTTAGTTATCATGTACACAGCAGTGGTATGTGATAGAAAGCGTGGAAGCTGAGGAGAAATTCTTTATGTGGTCAACAAGACTCCTCAATTTGGACCTCAAAATTTTGTTTGCTCAAGTTGTATAGGTACAGTATATTCTCTGCTTATCAAGAATTCAAGCGTTTGAGGAAGCCAACTCAATGGATTTTAAATTATCCTGCATTTGTCATAGGATTTCTGGGCTTATTCATTTTCTGCATGCAAGCTTATCATGATAAAGCGGTGGTGTAGTTTCTCGCCGGAGCATAACTCTTGGTCAGCAAAACTCTAGGCCAATGCACCCCCCATACCCTCACTCCCTCTTTTCATCACTCTCTTCTTTATGCACACTAGTGACAGACTTGAGGATTTGAGTTTACAGTGCGCTGGGCGGTGTCACAGGACTATAGTGATACCAGGTCTAGTATAAGGATGTTCACACTGGAATAAAGGGTGTCACAGGACAACTTCTTCACAGTATACAGGAGTCCACTTTTTTGTCATTCAAGTGTTACAAAGCTTTATCCTCTAGCTTCTACACTAATCATATTTAAAAGTGCAAACCTTCTTGAACTGTGGTTTGAAAAGTTGATACAGATGGAGCTCAACTTGACTGGTTGTGAGGACTGTTTGACAATTTGATTTGAACAAGTACATCCACATCATATAAGTAACTTGAGGCAAGGCCAGATTAAAGCAGGTGCTAATGATGCAGTTGATGCTGCAGCATTATGGGCTCACCAGGCAAATAATAGGCCCCTGTGAATTAAAAAATTAGCCAACTGGAGCATTTATAATTTAAGAATAAACCTGAGGAAACTTGACACAAACAAAAATTTGTAATTGGCAAACTGCATATGTTATTGGTTGAAAACAGGTGTACTCTCATGCCTGCTTGTAATGCTTGCATATACCTGGATTATTTGCTAGGATTGCACAATTTAAAAAATCTTTATATTGGTGACTGGCCTAGCAAACACAAGCATACAGTTGCAGGACTGCATCTGCTAGGAAGAACATTATTTGTAGGGCATCTATTTGTACTTCATGCATATGAGACATCTATGAGCAAAGTAGGAGTCAATCCTCTGTTATGACTTTGCATAGATGTCACTTTTGCATGAGGTACAAGCACTGATTAGACCTCTTGCAAGCTAAAATGCAACTATAGGGATAACCAGCACTTGGAACTTCCTGAAAACAAAATATGTTCATCTATGTCTGAATTTCATTAGAAACAACATGTATTAAAACCTCCCTGAGTCTCAGACTTTCCCCTCAAACCTCCATACATTGGATTCTGGAGTCCTTTTATTCTATTATCACAGGAAATATGAAAGACATAAAAACATTACAATGTCAAATGAAAGCCATAAAAATAAACTTTTACTAACTTTTGAAAGGAAGTGCAGAATCAACTAGGCAAATGAACCTTTGCCTCCAAGTTCTGCATCCAGTCAACTCATTTAGGAAGTAATTTTAGGCCTAGAAT